TTTTTAATAACTAGAGATGTGGCTCTCTGGCGCGGCCCCTGCCTAGAATGTGTGAGGTTCTAGGTTCAACCCTCAGCACCTCCAATAAAAGAGACAGGGAGAGGGGTAAAGTGTGCAAGTGCGATAGTGGGTAGAGGTCGGGGTGACGCCCTGTGCTCTGGGAGGCCATAACGTGGAAGGTGTTCAGCCAGGGGAATTCAGTGAGATGTGAGATGGTCTCAAAGAATAAAAAGGGTTGGGGAGGTACCTCAGGGCCAAAGCACTGGGCTCAATCCCCAGTATGGGGTGGAGCGGACCCCTGTCTGTACAGAGTTACTCATATAGGGCGCACTTGCCCCCTTCCCCACACCACACAAGCTCTGCTTGAACGCAGCCTCGCAGATTCTGCTTTCTTCGCTGATAGCCGTGTGAACAAATGCGAAAGCCAGGCTAGATGAAGACAGAGGCCGGTTTCTGGTCACTGTTCTTCACAAATATGTCTTTTGTCTCTGCCACTGGGGCCAAGGAAAGAGGCCTCACATTTTCAAAAACAAATGGTACTTTCAGGGCTGCTCTAGAGTCTGGGCCACACCCTCCTGGCGGAGGCACGGACCTCACAAATGCTGAAGGAAAGCGAAAGGGGCCGCCTAGAGCTTGAAGTCACAGTAGGGATCCCTGGCCTCTCCACCTAGCATCCTGCACTTGGGCACGACCTGCTGGGAGCCCTGAGGTCCCCTCAGGTCCCGACCCCGGCTGAGGTCCTGTCTTAGGGGGCAGCGTTCACTTAGCTGAAGACTCCTACCCTGGGAGTTTGCGCTAGAAGGAAAGCGAGAGGAAACACCCCGCACCAACAGTGGTCACTTTGTTTATTGTTTCACCCCAAGGAGAGGAGTGGGCTGATGTAAGGGAAAGAGAATGCACTTGAAGATTTGCTTTTAAGACCATAAAGCCCCGCCCACGCTGTGAGACCAAAAAAGATATTTTGTCTGTCCTAACAGAGTTCAAAACCCATCATCCAACAAAGCCAGCTTTCTTCAGGAATGCTCAGCCATCACAGTACTGAAGTTACAATTTTTCTGTGTCTCTAACCCTTAAACAGTTAAGCTCCTCTGGAGGCAATGTTGCCTAGTTGTCCCCTCCACTCACCCCTTTATTTTTTGGGTTTGGAGACTTTATCACAATCCTAGACAAAGGGGCCATTGAATAGGGACAGGCTACGCAGCGCTTCCCAGTGAAAGTGTTTCTCCAGTAAATGGGAAGGCCGGAGAAGTGAGTAACGTGAAACGAAGCAAAGGGCCCGGCTGGGAAGGTGGGCAGCAGAGCCTCCCACAGCTCCCTCCCGGCCACAGGCAGTCATGCAAATGCACGCTCATGTGTTCCAGTTGTGTCCAGGCAAACAGACACGAGAACAAAACTTTAGTCACAGCAAGAGCCTTTGTAAAAATCAAAGTCAAAACTCCTCTGGCAAAATGTTCCCTTATTGGGCCAGCGAGGTAGCTCAGTGGACTAAGTGTCAGCGTAGGCAAGTGCAGGGACTGGGCTCAATCACCCCAGCACCACATGCCAAACCCACCCCACCCTGCACGCGCTGAGCCTATACCACGCACCTGTAATCCCAGTGCTGGGGAGGCTAAAAACAGGAGGACCACTGCAAGTCTGAGCTGCGTAGTGAGACCCTATACCAAATACATTTTAAAAAAAAACACCTTATTTCTGCTTTCCAAGGA